AAAATTTAATGACAAAAATTAAAACTCAGAATAAAATTAATCACATGGCTATCAATATCACTTGATCTGAAATTTAGAGTTATAATTTTAGGGTAATAGATATATACCTTTGATTTTGGTTCACCTTCAAAAATAATTATCCATATTATTAATAAAAAACTCTTTTCATTAATTTTTTTATCAACCTAAAAAACAAATATTCTTAAAAAATTTTTTTATTTTTCAATAATAAAATCTAAACATTCTTTTTAACAACACATTTTTAAAAGCAAAAGCCTTTCCACTTGTTTATTTTTTCTTCTTCAAAACTTTTTAAATATTTCAATAACAGAATATCCAAAATTTATCTATTTGGTTTATGGCAAAAATATTTTATTGAAAAAAAAAACTTATCAAAAAATACTCTTTTCTATTTTCCCTTAAGGTCTGAAATTCTAGAAGAGCCTACTAGTAAATGCATTTTTCAAGCTTCATAAAAACCTTGGATCTATCATAAATAAATATCTTTACTAAAGACAGATAGATAAGCTTATGTTCTAATTTATAGATATAAATATATAATCCTTTTTATCAATTAAATATCTGCAGCATTCCTTTCAAATATATTAACAAATTTTCAGAAATTTTTGAAAAATTTTGCTTATTTCAGTTTGACTTTGAATTTTTCATTACATTAGAATCTTCAGTTAATAATTAGTTGATTAACATATGATAAAAAAGTAAATAAGACATATACTTTTCATATATTTCTTGTTATATAATATAATAATGATGGTTTAATTGGAAAAAGTAGAAAAGCAAGATATTATAATGTTCTTTTAAATAGAAATGATTTGATATTTTTCTTTTTCCCTCTTGAACTGGTTTCTTTTTTCTTCAAAATCAAAAGAAGTCTTATTTTAATTCAATAAGAAGTTTTTTTTGTTAATAATTATCTTAAGAAAACATTAAGTATTTAAGATTATAAGATTTTATAAGCAATAATTTCTACTATAAGTCTTGTTATAAGTATCTTAAATATTCTTAATTAGCAATGAAATAATAAAAATTAAATAATTTTTCCAGTTGCAAGTGATAATAAAGGATTTATTTTTATGGACTGAAATTGATATCAAAGAGTTTTTATTTATCAGAACAAATTTTTTAATTATCTTTTATTCTTCCCTTTACTTTCTTAAAAAATAAAAAATTTTTATCTCTATAGGATCACAATAATTATATAGATATAACAGTTCTAAATAAGGGCTGACTGTAATGTTTTAGACTAGTGAAAAGTTTCAGAATAGAATTAAACAATTTTTTTTATTTTCTATAATCATATCTAAAGATCTTAGGCTTACAACAGGTGTACTATATAGCAATATAATAGTTTAGCTTTATTATAGTATTTCTAATACAAATGTATAATTGTTTTCTAGCAAATAGAATTAATAAACTAAATGACTTACAGCCTGATTTAATAATAATAATAATAATAATAAATATTACTAGTATCTCAAGTCAATAATATAAATAATTTTAAACAAAAATTTAATTTTTTAAGTAAAGGAATGACTTTTCAAGAAAAAAAGTATTTATTTAATAAATTCTATATATTAATAAGAACTAAATATAAAAGAACTCCAAGAAATATTTATAAAGAAGTAATTGATACAGGTTTTTTCTTATATAACTTTTAAAAAAAGCAAGGTCTTTAAACTTGTTTTTCCTTAATCAAAGGTTCTATTTCAATACATCAATATATTTCTTTAATCTCCTTAAAACTTTTGAATATTGAAAGGCAAAAAAATATTTGTTTTTTTTAATTTTGAAAAAATTACCATAAAAAAATTTTTTTAAGAAAATTATAACTAATATAAATAAAAAAACAATATTAATATAAAATTTTTAATAATAATAATAATATATATTCAACGTATTATTATTATACTGTATAATTTTTATATATTATTAATATAAAAATTACATTATGTATGTTAGTATCAATTTCAGCATAATCCAATTTCAGCATCATCCCCGACATTAATTATTAATTTCTGGTAATTTAGATGAGGGTGTGTAGTACAGATTGAATGAGTTTCGAGGGCTGTCATAGTAGAATTCGAAAAACTACTGTAAGCTTTGAAATAACTATCCAGTTTCAAATGCACAAATACTTAATTGATAAATTTTATTTTGATTAAAGAAAAAATAGAATTATTGTTTGTAAATAAATTTTCTATTTGCAACTGCGAGTGCATAACTTTATGGCTACTATAATTAAACCTAAGCCTATTAATGTCAATCCTCCGTAAAAAAATGTATTGTATGTAACCTGAGTACATATAGACGAGCAAGTTTGATCAATACTTGATAATGTTGAATTATTATTGTTCCCATGAGTTGGATCGCATAATGGACCACATTTAGAAGGTAAAATTTTCGAGTAAGTTAACATCCCCAACCCAACAATGATTAAAAGTGACGCGAAGATTAAAAAACATAATGTAAACGTGCATCTTAAACACCCACATACAGAACAACAATCACCGAGATCACATTCATCATGTCCTTTGCTATGTTGTTTTTTATTAGGTTTTGATCCTCTCACATAAGTAGCAGCAGCCATTACTGGAGGATTGTATGATGCCGGAGGTCTTGGTTCATTTGGTGAAGAATAGTTTTTTGGTGGTCTTGGAACATCTTTTGAATTTATAGATTGATTTGGAGAATGATTACTTGATTGATTTGGTTTATTTGATGTTAAATTTTGCTGTGATGGTGACGGCGAATGTTTCGAATGTGGAGAACGCGGCGCAGCGGGTGAATGCAAAGAATGCGGTGTAGAAGGGGAATGCGGAGAATGTGGTGCAGTGGGTAGATGTGGAGATCTTGGCACGGAAGCCGCGTGTGAATGAGGTGGATAAGGTTGGGTGAAACCAGAATTTGCATTTACATTTATGGAAGAAGACGTTGATTTTAACGAAGACGATGAATTATTGTATTTATGTGTTAAATTATGATTATGGTGTGGTGCATGCAATGCATCGGGATTATTATCATGTCGAGGATAATGTCCTTGTTGATCAAAAAGTTCTTTGCTGGGAGTAGGAGAATGTTGAGGTTCGCGGTATTGGTGAGGTGGATTCGGATAATGACTTGAAGGTGAATATTGTGAAGATTTACTTTGAGATGGGGGATATTGAGGCAGTTGTTGCGGAGAGGTAATATTTTGAGATGGTGGATAACAAGGTGAATGTTGCGGAAATGTTGTATTTTGAGGGGATGGTGGATAATGAGGTGAATGTTGCGGAGTCACGTATTGAGGTGGTGGCGGATGACGAGGTGAATATTGCGGAGTTGTATTTTGAGGTGATGGTGGATAAGGAGGTGGAGAAGTTTCATTCTGAGGAGATGTTGGATAGGGAGGCGGAAAAGATGTATTTTGAGGTGATGGTGGATAATGGGGCGATTTTGGTGACGAGGGATAACGTGGAGATGGAATTAGATGTGGTGTTGGAGCTAGATTCAGTGTAGGAACTTGTCGAATTGGCGGGTATTGCCCCAAATTCGCATTCATTGAACTATTTTCTACAGGATACA